AAATCTTTCTTCTCAATGAACTAAGAGAAAGTAGCTGTATATCTATCCTATTTTGTATATACAGATATATATTTTTTTAATGGTCCTTCATTTATATCCCCCTTTTTGTTTTGTTTTGTCAGAGATGGGTGTTCCATTGCCATTCAAATATTGTAGGTGCTTGAATTCGGCAAAATAACCCAATATAGTCCAATAGTCCATAATAGTGAGTGATCTTTAAGGAGTAGTGGGTGATCTTTGTACTTTTTCGAAATAGTATTGATTTCTCCATCATAATATCCAGAGATTTTGTTGCTTGTTGCTTGCTTTGTTTTGTTTTTGGTGCTTGAGATAAAGCCCAGGGACTTACACATTCTAAGCATACACTGTCAGTGAGCTACAACCACTACTCCATAATATCCCCTTCTCTCTCCCATCTGCTTCATTGGTAAAAGTAAAGCACAGCTTGAGGCTGTACAAATACTTCAGTTAGATACACAGAAAGGCCTGGAATACCCAGGGAAAGCACAGCCAGGCCCTTAAGCTCAGGTGACCTTTCAGGTCTCGTAGGCAAGCATCACCTGCTCAGATTCAAATGGGATGAGAACCACAAAAGAGGCTGCCTCCATTCCTTCATGACCAATCATGGGGTGCTAAGGACAAAAATGCTAAATCTTTTCATTGCCAAAATCATGCCTACTAACTGTAATCAATAATCAATCCAGGGGGCTGGTGAGATGGCTCAGTGGTCTAAAGAACCTACTTAGAACAAGCTTAGCAAAGCACAGGTACCACGGTTCAATCCCCCCAGCACCACATGCCAACCAGCCCCGCCCCCTGGTGGGCTGAGCTGGCCATACACACACACACACACACACACACACACACACACACACACACATAAATAAATAAAATTTTTTTTAAAAATTTAAAAAATAATAATAATCAATCTAGAGTCAAATAAGAAGTCAACCTCAATTCTGCTTCTCCAGAGAAACTCATTAATGGCTGGGGCCAAAGTTGTGGCCTATAAGAGCAAGATGGAGGCAACAGAGAAAGAAGTGTTATTTTGGGGCTCTAAGAAACCCACCATAAAGTAGTAAGGATTGAGGGCTGCCCTCTACCTGGTGCCCACAGTCCAAGAGGCAGGGGTGAATAAGCTGGAAGCAGAGAGGACAGGCAGTGGGAAGCAGATGGCTGGGTAGTACACTACAAGAGGCATCTACTGCCTGTTATCAGGAGTAGCACTTCAGTTCCCTGAATCTCATTACTGGAGTTGGCAAAGAAAACCCATCATCACACATGGTCTAGAATGAAGCTTTACTTCTGTGGAGACAGATAGCACAGCCAGCTTCCATGGTGGACATAAGTTCCCTATGGGCAATGAGCCCCTTCCTGCAGCCAACCAGGGCCACTGGCCTGCACATACCTCTTTGTGCTACAGCAAGACACAAAGATTCCCTTCTGCAGGAGACAGACAGAGCAGTGGGATCAGCCACCTGTCACAACCTACACACTCACACACATTGAGCCAACCACGATGGCACATGCCTGAAGTCACATCAGGATCACGACTTTTTGGCCAGCCTGGGATAAAACAGTTTCATTAAAGAGAAAAAAGGAAAAACTCACTGAGGCTGAAACAAGGGATTCCCACACAAGGCGACAAATCCAACACCAGCAATGAGGTATGATGATGTTCCAGGCCTAGGGTCCATTCTCATGTAGCCAAGGACATAGGAAAACCATACTGCCCTCCTGTCCCTCTCTATGCCACCTTCTCACCTGTCCCAGGTGTACAAGGTCTCCTACATCCACATCTGTTCTCCACCCTTGTATAACTCACAGCATGGACAGTCTTAGACCTCAGGGCACTGGCCACTAAGAAGCATTCAGCAAATACTTAGGGAAAAAGCCACACCAACCAGGGCCAGCCCTCACAGGAAACATCTGGGGGCCTTTCCTGATGGAATTTGAAGGCAAGATCTAGAACCTCAATACAGCCTAACATAGTGGACAGCCCCTTGGCCACCTCAGGGAGCTGGCAGCTGGCTTGAATCAGCCCTGCAAAGTGTGCTTGGGAGGTGAGAGTTAGGTGTTTGCAAGCACCTCCGACAGGCCCAAAGTCATGGGGAGATGACTAGAAACATTCTTCAAGGATTAGACCTTACTTAACTCTCTGTTGAAGGATCAGGGTCTTCAGTCAAATCTGAACCTGACTACACCTAGTCAAAGCATGAATGGCCCTCACCCATGCACCAAGGCATAATCTAGGTTTTGGAATTAATCCTCTCTAAATTTGTTGAATTTAGGGGCCGGGGAGATGGCTCAGTGGAATAAGCATTTCCCTGGTAAGCGCAAGGGCCTGAGTTCAATCTCCAGTTCTGCAAAAAAAAAAAAAAAAAAAAAAAAAATGTGTTGAATTTAGGCCTAGGAGGTGGTGGTCTTGCAGGGTAGAGGAAGATGAGGGATGATCTTCTTACCGAAGACAGCCACAGGCCTAGTGCAGACAGAACAGGCTTCATATAGTGCATGAGGCTAGACTTCAGATCTCTAAGAATCATACAGTGCTGGTCCTTGGTGACTTGTTTCCTTCACCCAGCATACTCTGCAGGTTTATTGTACTATAGATAGCACACCAGTTAATAGTTCCTTTTTCTTGCATAGCCCACTGTTCAGTAGCTGATTTTTTTTGAAGTGCTGAAGATCCATCCAATCCAGAACATCAAACATCTAGGCAAGTACTCTGCTGTCCCACTGAGCTCCATCCCCACCCCTGTGGGCTGTTATGAATAGTGCTGCCATGAACATGCACATGCAAGTTTCTGTGGGGATTATGACTTATTTCTATTAGGTCTGTATAGCTTAAAGTGGAAATATTGAGTTTTAAACTAACCATTTAACCTTTTAAGGAACTGCCAGACTGTTTTCCAAAGTGGCTATACCAGTAATACAGCACATTCCTAATTTCTCTAAGTACCACAATTTGTTCTTGGGGGTTTTGGGGATAGGGGCTCACTATGTAGTTCAGGCTCGCTTCAAAATTACTCTGCAGTCCACATTGGTCTCAAACTTGTAAGAAATCCTCCTGCCTCAGCTTGAGTGCTACTATTATAGCTGTAAACCACCACATTCAGCTTACCTGTTTTTTTGAAACCAAAACTCCGGGATTGTGGGTATAGTTTAGTGGCAGAGTATTTTCCTGGCATGTTTGAGGCCCTGGATTGGAACCTCCTTGGCATCTATACATCTTTGGTGAAATATCTCCTCAAATATTTTTGGACACCTAGCTGGCCAAAGTCCACAATGACACTGTATATGAAGCATGTGCAAGAAGCCTGCCACACACTGAGAACTATAAAGTGAATTTTAGTACTGTATCTGCTATGCTGAGCCAAAGGAATGAAGCTTCCCTGTGGGCTCTCAGGTTTAGAACTAGGGCCAGTACTGTCCTGACTCAGTGGAACAGAATAAGAAAATTCTGCTCCCTCAGCAGCAGGGTTATAAGGAAGAGAGCAGTGTACACAAAAAGTCCATCATGACTAATACCCATTAGAACCTTCTGATGAAGCATGATGTCTACATTCAGGCATGAAACTTTGAGATCAAAGATACTTAGCCACTTCTTCAAGACTGTTTGGGGCTGGGGAGATGGCTCAGAATTAGCGCTTCCCTGGCAAGCACAAGGGCCTGAGTTCAATCCCCGGTTCCAAAAAAAAAAAAAAGACTGATACTAAAACTAAGAGGAAATGTGAATGCCAATGCCGCGCCTCTCCCAAAGCAGCCCCACTGCCCAGTACAGGCAGTGAGCTGAGAGGAACAAGCACCAGCCATGTGCTGCCCACTGGGGCAACCACAGCTCAGCCAAACTACATGGACTGCACAAGGAGGTTGGAGCTTCAGTGCCTAAGAACACAGACAGCCTAGCTGTGCACTAGCAACACAACTGCGGTAAGGAGTTTCTTCCCTCCAGACCTTGGCATATTCTACAAAGTGAGGAAACAAACAGTCCTCCTCACAGAGCACCTAGCATAATGCCCATCCCACAAGAATACCAATGGCTTTCTCATTTGCATCTGGACTATGACCCCATACTCCACAAAGACCACTAGCTTTTCTCTGCCATTAGCTTTGACCCATCCCAAAATGCAATGTGTTGGCCAGGGCTAGTGGCACTAGCCTATAATCCCAGCATTCTGGGAGGCTAAGGCAAAAAGATTCCAAGCTTAAGCTAGGCCTGCATAACTTGTGACCCTATCACAAAATTAAAAAAAAAAAAAAATTAAAAAGCATAAAAATAAATAAAGGGGCCAGGGAGATGGCTCAGTGGAATAAGCGCTTCCCTGGCAAGCGCAAGGGCCTGAGTTCAATCCCCGGTTCTGCCAAAAAATAAATAAATAAAAATAAAAATAAATAAACTGGACATGGTGGCACACACCTATAATCCCAACACTTGAGAGGCTTAGACAGGAGGATCACTGAAGATTCTAGACCAGCCTAGCCACCATAATGAGTTCAAGGCCAGGCTGAAGTATATAGTAAGACCTTGTCTCATCAAAAATAAATAAATTGGGGCTGGTGAGATGGCTCAGTGGTCTAAAGCACCTACTTAGAACAAGCTTAGCAAAGCACAGGGACCGCGGTTCAATCCCCCAGTACCACATGCCAGCCAGCCCCGCCCCCTGGTGGGCTGAGCTGGCCACACACACACACACACACACACATAAATAAATAAAATTTAAAAAAATAAAATAAAATAAATAAATAAATAAATTGTAATAACTTACAAAGAACAGGGATATAGCTTAATGTGAAGGCTCTGAATTGAGTACTCAGTACTCTGCAAAAAAAACACAAACATAAACATAGTATCTGAGTACAAAGTTGGAGCACAGTTCTTATAGCTCTCAGGGCCTAACCCTAACCTGACCATCCTATCCACACAGAAAAGACCTGGTAAGGGTCTTGAGTACTCTTGAACAATGACTGATGACAAAGCAGAAAATGAAACTTTATTAAAGCAGCTAAACCCAGCACCAGATAACACTAAATGATACATCCATAAGACAAGGATCAAACACAAGTACTATCTAATATCATACACTTCTGGTGAGAACAATTCTTAATTGCTCACTTCTCCACATATCAATATAAAGAATCCTTTCACATTTTTCTCTCTCACATCCTTGCTTTGGCATCAAACTGATTTGCTCTGGACTCCAACTGAAGGACCAGACCTTCTAACCAGGCCAGGAAGCACTGACTCAAGTCACTAGCCACTCTCTGCCACCAGAGGGAGGTGTGCAATGTTGTGTCTGGCTTCCAGTGACAAACACCCCTTCACAGCATCTTCCTATATGAAAGGACCAGAGAAGAAACCAGTGTTACTTGGTGTGAAGAAAATCAAATTATCACCAAGACCGGAAATACCTAGGTGTACCCCTGCCTGCACAACAGAAAGTTCTGCCAAGGGCTCTGGATTACAACGAGGAGGGCAGATGATGACTTAGTCCTTCTTGCCTCCTGGGACTAGGCTCCTTGTAAGGAGCTTTCCAGGACTGGATGGGGCCAGTGTAGACACTGTGGGTGACTCCAGCTTCACTCTATCCAAGAGGGTCTTCTTAAGGGCAGCTGGAGAGATCTTTTCCTGGTCAGCCATGGACTGCAGCTCCCTGCAAAGTCCCAGACAGATTCAAGAAAGGAAATAAGTCTTGCAGCCAGAGCTTTGAGTTTTCCCCATCCACAAAGCCCCAGATCTTTAATTTGACTTCACCAAAAATTAGAATACCAAATCAAACACTCCCTCCAGCTTTGTAGAAATACTATTCAACTAAGTCTTACCTTATGTGATCTGAATGAACTAGACATGGAACTTAAGTGTATTCAACCATGAGGGAGAATGTGAATTAGTTCCAATAAGATACTTAAAGCTGGGGCTGGGGAGATGGCTCGGTAGGATAAGCGCTTGACTGGCAAACGCAAGGATCTGAGTTCAATCCCCGGTTCCGCACAAAAAAAAAAAAAAGATACTTAAAGGTGAATCCTGCCTCCATCACCTGTCAACTATTTAACCTTGAACTTTCGAATCCACATATCAAAGTTAAGCCCAGCTATCAGAAGTATAGTGAGAATTATGTAAAGGCCTACAAACCACTTAGCTAAATAAAGTTTAGTAAGTCATGCTTCCCATTTATGCCAGAGGTTGCAATTTTTTGAATTTGAAAAATCAGATCTTGGTAATGACCCTAACCAATAGGATATAAGTATCATTAACTACCAATATGGTTGGCATTCCAATGATGGAATATGAGGCAAACAAGTAAACAGACTCCAGCCCTAAGAGGACCCAATGCAGCAAGCAAGAAAGAACCGTAAGATGGTGCCCAGCCCAGGAACATGAAATAGCTCACCGGGTTCGGATACAGGAAGCCTCAACTGCATTGATAAGTAGAGAGCGGAAGCCCCCACTCTCTAGAAAGTGTAGGGCATGAATGGTGGCTCCTCCAGGGGAGCAAACGTTGTCCTTGAGCTGGCCTGGATGGTCCTCCGAGCTCAACAGCATCTTGGCAGCTCCCTATGGCAAAAGGAGCATTGTACGAAAAAGCTGCCAGTACACTTTGGAAAAAGCTACCCTACACCACCTGCTCCTGGCCAATCTCAAGCAGCCCATCCCCAGCTTGGCAACCCATAAGAAATTCCATCACATACTCTGGTCACACATGCAGGGAAGACACTAACCAATAATGCCTGGGCCCCAAGTCGGACTGCAAGGCGCCGTGGCAAACCCATCTTCACTCCACCATCAGCCAGTGCATCCAGGGCCATGAATGCCTAAAAGACATTTGTTGAGCCTGCAAAGCAGGCACTCTCAGCTCTCCCTAGGGCCTGCTCTTCAGATGACTACAACTAGCTCCAAGGTCAGGGTCCCCCTCTGGATAGCCACACCCAAAAGAAGGTACTGCCCCAGGCCAAACCTGCCTGCCAGCCCATCCTGGTGTGTGTCTAAGTGACCCAGAGGTGGGAGGCAAAGGGGGAGCGAAGGCCTCACATAGGCAGGTCCACTGCCACTGAGTCCAGTGATGGCATCAATCAGGTCTTCCTCCACCTCGGTGCAGAATCCCACACTGCTCATCAGCTGCTCCAGGAGCTGCCCATCCTCCACCAGGGCATGGGTTCCAGTAGCATACACAGTAGCACCTTCCCGTACCACCACAGGTGTATTTGTCATGCAGCGAATCACTTTGGGAGCTGGCTGGAACGCCATTAGCTTCTGAAGCAAGATAGAAGGCCAAGTGAGTCACAAGGGCACATCTCTTACCCATCAATGGCTACTCCCAGGCCACCCTCCTCTCATACAAAAGTTGAGATCAGTACCTTCTCCACAGAGCTGATGGTGACACCAGCCGCACAGGAAACTACAATGTGCCTGGCTTGCACATCCATTCCAATCTCATCCAGGATGAAAGGGATAATATGTGGTTTCACAGCCAGGAACAGGACATCGCTGTGCCTCACAGTTTCCTTGTTGCTTCGGGTCAGGTTCACACCCATCTTCTACAGGAAGAGATTGACAAGAGACAGACAATACTGGCAGCCTGGTGAAGGCAGTGCCTCTCAGAACTTAATTCCTCCACCAAGTCCACTAGGCAGCTGCAGCCACAATCCCTTGACTTGTGCTCTTAGGTCACCCCTACGCCCACCCCAGAAAGGAGTTTTCCACTACCTGGTAAGTAAACACAGGCATTAGGCATAGCAACCTTCTCCACCTCTTCCTTCATCCTCGCCAATTTGACATACAAGTCACCCCTCAGCCAGGTGAAAAAGCTCCATGGTAGGCAAAATATAAGCAAAAGGGAAATGCTACATCTAGAGTTGGAAGTAGTTGGGTTGGGCCTCATTCTAACGTGTCACTCAACTCACCAGACTCCATGGCCTCTCTGTGGACCCCAGTGTTAGTATATCAGGTGTCCATTCTAGGCACAGCTTCACCTGTCAACTGCCTCCTTAGCTACCTCTCCCATGCTGCCTGGATTTTGGAAGAACTGGAACTGTGCTTTAGAAAACAGGTACAACTAATCTGCCAGGTTCTTTCCCAGTACACTCATTCATGTGCCAGGACACTAGCAAAGTTGCTACTGTAAATGAGGAAATAAACCTCAGTGTGGCTGAGTACTTGAAGAACACACAACTGATGAAAAATGAGTCTTTATTAGGCTCCTAAGTGAGATGCTTTCCACATATAATTACATGTCAGTCCTCCAACCACCCGTGTTGGGATTTTACCCAAGTCATCCTGCCTGGGATCTCCCACCTTACACTGCTGCCCCACAAAAGTAGGATTATGATGGCTCTGACGCAAAGTCGGTGCCAAGAAAACGCCAGCCCCGGGATCTAGGGCTGGCTAGACTCGGTCTCGGGTCCTTTGCTGGGTTCCTCCACCCTCTTCACACCGCTGCACCCCACCTACCCTGAGTGCGGACACTGTAGGCAGGTCCATTTCCGGGGAGCTGGCTATTATCTTGTGAGCAGACAGGATACCTGCAGAATAAATTGGTTTTTGACAGGGGACACTAGACCATCGTGTTGCCACGATTTCCCTGAGAAAGCAGGATCAACTGCTCTACCAGTGATAGCCTCCCACACTCAGGCAATCGGTTACACGGGCACCACACGAATCTCGTCCTCCCTAAGGGGCACGAAGCCCCCTTCTGTTCACTCTTGCATGCATGCACGAAAGTGCTGGGGTAGGTCCCGCGCGCTCACCTGCGGCAGTGAAGCCCCGCGCCAGCGCACAGGCCAGCTGGCCCGCGCCAATGAAGCCCACGCTCATGCTGCTGAGCGCGGGCCGAGAGACGCTTCTAGAGGAAGGACGAGGCAAGGGAAGCTTCACGAGCCGCCCACCGAAGGAACCGGAACCGAGGACCTCCAGAAGCGATGGCTGACTGGGACCGCTCCTAGACGGGACCGCGCAGCTCCTCTCACCAAGAAAGACGCGCGGGCTGCTGGCCCAACGAAAGCAACGTGGCCCGATAGAGAGCCAATCCGCAGCCTGGAACTCCGGGACGAACAGTCTCGGAAGAACCAATCCACGAGCGTGAGTTCGGGGAGGACCAATCCACGGCCATATATGCTCCGTGCGCCCGCCTCCTCCGCGCAAGCTGACTGACCCGTCCTGCGTGACGTGCGCCCTCTTCCCGGCGCCAGGTCGGGTTCCCACCGAGGCCTGCCAAAGTTGACCTTCTGTGCTTTTGTCACTGTCAGCCACCCCTCGGGCCCAGAAGAAGCCCTCCAGGCAGCCGACTTGAGATGAATGAGTCTCACCCACAAGAGCTCGGATCCGAGGGCAGGGAGGCCAGCCGGGTCTGGCGGTGGGCGTGCGGGCCTCTGCTGGCCGCGGTTCGCACCCACAACCGCGCTCTGCTTCCCAACGTGGCGGCGATCTGCGTGCTTGAACCTGCGCGGGCCACGTGGTATCCGATAGCCAGGGTACCCTATCCTCCACCGGGGATCAGTGAGCTGGGAGGACAGTCGAGGTTCCAACTCCTCTTGCACAGCCCCGCTCCCTACCGCTTGTTTTGAAAAGCTCCACCGTGGGCGCTTTCGGTTTTCAGAATAATATGCTGGAGGGAGGAACGAGTGCAACATCTCGAAAATGTTCTCTAGAAAAGTATAGTGTGCACGTTAAAATTTCAACAGCACTGCTCCGAAGGAGAGGACTCAGTGTTAAAGCACTGACCTAGAATGCATCAGGCCCTAGTTTCCTGCTGTAGCATTATGAACAAATAAAAATATAAAAAATGCCTGGCAAGGTGGTGCATGCCTGTAATCCCAGCACTCTGGGAGGATCGTTACGAGTTCAAGGCCAGTCTGGACTACAAAAGTGAGCTCAAGGCCAGCCTGAACTGCGTAGCGAGACCCTGTCTCAGAAAGGGGGGAGGGGGGAGCAGTACTCTGGTTGACCTAACACAGGAAGAATGGCACGGAGAATCTTAGGAGGCAGTTTATTACCCGGTGACCTCTGACTATGATCTCTCCAAGCTTCAGGCCTTTTTTTTTTTTTTTTTGATTGGGATGAGCTGGCCTCTCTGGGAGTTTTTAAAACTACAGTCCTGCAGGGGCACCTATTCTGGATTTTTTTTTTTTTTTTTTTTTTGGTCTCTTTGACGCAGGGTCTTAATATGTTGGCCTTGAATTTACTTTGTAGCCTAGGCTGATCTAGAGCTCAGTCTCCTGCCTCAGGCTCTCCAGATTGCTAAGATTACAGGCTTGTGCTTCCACTCAGCCCAGTCAAGCTTTTAAAGGGAAAGGAATCAGGGCGGCACAAAGGCAAATTCGACACTTAAGGTTGGAGGGTTGGTGACATGGGTTGCTGAAGGAGCTTAAACTGTTCAGGTTACATCACAAGGCTATCAGGTGCACAAAGCATAGGTTATACAGAGGGAGAAATGTCCTGTTACGTTTGTAAGTTACATTGTAAATGTCCTCAGTTAGGAAAAGCCAGCAGATGGGTTTACATAAAGGAAAATATACTCTTGTTATTGGGCCTGCTGGACATGTCCATCAGATTCCTGCAGGCATTCTTGGCAGACCTTTGTTTCAAATTTTAATTCCCCTTTCAGCACACTCCTGAAGTTCCAGCACTCTGGTGGCTAAAATAGGAGGATCACGGTGAGTTCTAGGCCAACCTGAGCTACATAGTGAGACCCTGTTTCAAAAAAAAAAAAAATTGAAATAAGCGCATCACAATCTGCTGGACATGGTGAAACACATCTGTAATCCCAGCAACAGGAAGGCTGAGGCAGGAAGATGGGAAGTTCAAGACCTTCATGGGCTACACAGCCAGACCTTGTCTCAAAAACAAAAATAGCAGCTACAATCATACTTTCTAAGAATAGTTTCTTCCAAACATTTTGGTGAGGGTGTGGGTGTGTTTGGTTGGTTATTTGCTTGGTTGTTTGGTTTTGGTTTTTTGAAGTGAGTCTCACTATATATATACTTCAGCTTGGTTTTGAGTTTACTGTGCAGCTCAGGCTGCCCTCTGACTTGTGGTCAACTTCCTGCCTCAGGCTCCTGAGAGTGCTGGGATTAGAGGTGTACACCACCATACCTGGCTATGTTTCATTTTGGGTTGAGTTGGGTTGGATTTTTATTTGTTTTGATTTTGGTTTTATGATATTTCCATACAATTTTATTAACTAAAATATGGAACACTGAATTTAAATGTCATCCTTGTGCTAACCTCATTCCACTTTCAATATATGTGCTTCCTGCCCTAGCAAGTTCTATTTTGTTTTTATGAGGGTTTTTTGTTTGCTTTTAGTTTTTCCATACTGAGCATTGAACCCAGGTCCTTTACACTGAGCTACATGTCCAACCCATTTTGTACTTTTATTTTGAGTCAGGGTCTCACTGAGTCACCAAATTGCCCAGACTAGGTTTAAATTAGGGATCATGCTGCCTAAGCCCACCAGAGTGCCAGAGTTACAGGTTTGTACCACCTTACAAACCTTGTCCTGTTTCTTTACACTAGAATTTTTTTGTCACTTTTTTATGAAGAAAAAATTTCAAAACCAGATAATAGGTTAACAATGGTGGATAAATAAAAATAAAAATGGGCAATAATAAAAAAATGATGGATACATTACATAGTGTTAATTAAGAGTACAAGATATAGGCACTTAATTGTCCAAGCAATATTACCACAAAATTTTCCCTTCAATGAGCTAAGAGAAGTTAGTAGTTTAACTATTGCTAAGGATCAAACTTGGGACCTTGCACTCTCTGGGCAAGCATTTATGCCATGGAGCCATCTCTCCACCCTCTTAACTGTATTTCACGTATGGTTATGGTCTTGAGTTGCAGCCATTTACCTATGAAAGTCTCCAGTTTTTCCTTCTTTATGGCTCAGTAATACTCAATTGTATAAAAAGGCCACATATTTTTAATCCATTGCTTGGTTGATGGACATTTGAGTTGTTTTGGTTTTGGAGGGTTTTTTTCCATAATTTTATTGAGAGACAAATAGCAATGAGACAGTTTCAAATCAAATTGGTATGACAGTTTTTTTTTTTTTTAATGTATTTAGTACAGGGTCTCACTACACAGATCAGACTTATAGTGATCCTGTTTTTGTTTTGTTTTGTTTTGTTTTGTTTTTTGCAGAACCAGGGATTGAACTCAGGCCTTTGCACTTGCCAGGGAAGTGCTTATTCCACTGAGCCATCTCCCCGGTCCCCAGTGATCCTGTTTTGAGCCTCCCAAGTACTGGTATTATTGGAGAGCACCAACATGCCCAATCTCAGTCACCATCTCAGCATGCCCCGGAGGTGAGGCCAGCACAGAACACCAGGAATCAAACCCCAGCCCCTGTGCTCTGCCCTTGTGCAAAAGCTTTTCAGTAAGATGAGATTCTAAGTATTGATTCCTTGTGATAGTTCCTGTGCAGTTGGGGTTTTATTCATAAAGTCTTTGTCTACACCAATATCTTCAAGAGTTTTACCTATTCTGTCTTGAGCAGATCTAATGTTTCTGTTTTAATATTTAGATCTTTGATCCATTTCAAATTTAGTTTTTTTTGTTTTGTTTTGTTTTTTTATGAGCAGAATATACTTACTGAGGGAAAGAAAGCTCCTGTCCAAGAGAGGGACAGGATTGGGGCTGAGTGGGTTGTGGGTTAAAACCTTCAAATTTAGTTTAATACATAGTACAAAATATATATATATACATGGATCCAGTTTTAATAGTCACTATGTGCAGCACCAGTTTTCCCAGCACCATTTATTAAAGAGGCTATCTTTCTTCCAGTGAATATGTTTGGCACCTTTGTCAAAGATAAATTGGAAGTATGTCTAGAGTTGTTTCTGCATCTTCTAATCTGTTCCGTTAATCTTGAGGTCTGTTTTTTTGTTTTGTTTTGTTTTTTGTTTTGCCAATACCACACTGTTTTTAGCACCATAGCTTTATAGTATTAATTGCAAATCAAGGATGTGATACCTCTTCCTTGCCTTTGTTACCCAGGTCTCTTCCGGTTCAAAATGAATTTTTTTATCTTCAATATTTGAGATTTTATTGGTTGTGTTGAGGATCAGTACACATGATTCACTTTGTACACAGTTCTTAACACACATACCAAAAAAAGCCATGTATTGTTTTTCAATTGTTCCAGTGACTTTCCAGCTTCAAATTTAGAGGCAAATGTTCTGTAAGAGGATTAATACCAGTATCTTCAAATGCTGACAAAGTGTTACTTAAGTCCCACCAATTCACAATTTTGTATCACATATACTACATATTCAAATTTTTGATCTTTCACAGCACATTAACAAAATGAGGCAAACCAGACTACCACTACCAAAGATGTTACAGAGTGCACACGATTCTGGCAGGGCAACAATTAGGATGTAGTTCTCTTTAGGAAACAATTCTACCAAAAATCATGAGAATAGAAGTCATTTAAAGTATCCAAGACATATTAAATGCAGGACTGTAATTCCAAATTGCCATTTGGTATGCTTTGTATTGCAGAATATAAAACCTACCCCCACCTATGGAATGTTAAGCTGACACCCAAGATAGTCAAAGCCTGCCATAATTCAATATCCCACTATTTCTGGTTGTACCAAAAAATAAACAGCCAGAGAATGATTTCACCCTTAAAAAAATCATTTACACTTAAAAAATGCAATGAGGTGGGATTCCCTCCTTTTAAAAAATGTATCTAGAGCTACTCAAAAACTTGCATTTACAAAATAGTTGATAAAAATATTCCTCTGGATTGTACAAAAAGGGAGACAGGGAGCACTGATAAGACATAGTGTGTGATTAATCAGACTTGGCTTCTTTTTCTTCTGCTTCATCAGAAGCTGCACTCTCCTCATTTTTAGTTTCTCCATTTT